GGCCTGAGGCGGGTCAGGGCGGGTCTCGCGGGTTCAGGTCCAGCCTGGGCGCCCCCTCGGCGCGCGGCTGCTGCTTCCTCCCGCTCCGGGGAAGCGCGTGGGGCCCGGGGAACATCGCGGGGCCCGGGCTGCTCTCGGCTCGTCCGTTCCTGGGTGAGACGCGCGCCCTTGACACGCTCCTTTTCCGGAACTTGAAGAAAAGTTTTCCCCCTCAGACGCGCCGGGCTCCCCCGCCGGGAGAGGAGCCGGCTTGGCGCTCGGAGCCGCGCACCCGACCCCGGGACCCCCTCCACCTCGGGCCCCGGACCCCCGGGACCCTTGCCACCTCGGATTCCCTGACCCACGGGAGCCCCCTCCACCTCGAAGCTTCCCAGTCCCTGGGACCCCTTCCACCTCGGAGCCCCAGACCTCTCTGAGATCCCCCTGCACGTCGGGTTCCAGACCCCCTTGCTTCTCACATCGTCCTTTGGCTATAGACACTCCTCACCTCGGACCCCCTAGTCTCCAGGCCATGGACTCCTTTTTGCTTCAGAGACCCCTGTTCCTGGGCTGCAGCCCCCCCCCCCCGCCTCGGAGAGCCTGAGACCCTGAGACCCTGAGACCCAGAGACCCAGGCCTGAGGAGCCTTCGCACTGGGAGGGCTGAGAGGCAGGAGGCTGCGGTGGGGGCAGGGAGCTGCGGGGAGGAAGGAATGGGAGGGCAGCTCCACGCTGTGGGGTGAGGCCAGGAGGAAGGCTCCTCGGGAAGCTGCAGGGCTGGCCGGCAGACTCCAGACCCCAGGCTCGGGTAGTGAGCATTTTAGTGGTCGGATCCTTGCGTGGCCGTGGGAAACCATTTCTGTTTTAAAATTGCACAGGCACCGTTTGCTCCACCGTGGAAGTGGAAGCTTTGCTTTGGAAAGTTGTATGTGCAGGAGGCTGTTTTGTTCATTGAGGCTAGCTGAGGAGGCTGGTGTCTTGGGTCCCGTGTCTGCAGAATGTTGGCACTTCACTGTTATCTTGGCTGCCTTTACGGAGGGTAGGTTGCTGCTGGGCACTGCTCAGTGTGAGTGCTGGCCACTGCTAGGTGCTTTGCATGGACCAGACCAGACCTTACAACACTCACTTCCTCTTGCTCAGTTTATCTGACCAGTACCAACCCATGTCTCAGTTTGGGTATGACTTCTTCCCAACTTTTTCTTAGACCCCTCCCACCTTGGTTGTTCCCCCTCTCCTCTCCCCACAGCAAAGGCTGTCTTACTACTGTCTTGGTTGTGGTATGTTTGACCCCTTGAAGTTGTGGGCCCCACCTGAGTCCCAGCCCTAATGAGAACCTAGCATGTGCTTGGGGTTCAGGGTTATTGATTGAATGCACTTTGGGAGACATTAAGGGAGGTAAAGTAAGTGGTCTAGGGTCACCCAGTTGGAGAGAGGCGAGGATGAGTGTCACTGGGCCAGGCTCTGCTCATCCTAGTGTCCTTCATGGTCCCAGCAGGTTCTGGCGGGTCACTTCTCAGCACTTTCTTGCTCCATGCCAGTGAAACTTGAGTTTTTACAATCTGCCCCCCCCCTTCCTACCCCCATTCACAATCAGTGCTGCCTCACCTGATTCCCACTGATCCCTGCAGGTTCCTCTCCCTTTGGCACCCCCTCTCTACTTCTGCACCCCTCCACCCTTCCACTTCTCCATCTCTCCATCCCACTGTCCCTCCCCTGTGTCCAGCAAGTGAATTCCTGTCCTTCATGCCTCTGCTTTACCCTTGCCTGTGCTCTGTTGAAGCCTTCTCTAGTGGGAGGACACAGCTTATCAGAGCAAGTTGTTCCTGTTGGTCAGAGCTTCTGACCGTCACGTCCCCAGCCTGAGCACAGAGGATGCCTACCCAGCATGTCGTGGGTGCTTGTGGAGCTTTGAGAGCTTGGTGAAGATTCATCATCAGAATAGACATTTATACATATGTATAACGTGTAAAAGAGGATTTTAGGAAAATGAGTATGTGTTGTCTATTAACATGTGTTTAAGTTTCTAGGGCCTGGGCTGTTTAGAATTCTAGACTGTGAGGTTGGCAGGACCTCGGGTAGATCAGCCGGGCCAGTCACCTCATTCTACAGTGGGGCAGCTGAGGCCCAGCACTCACCAGTGCCACATAGCAAGTGTGAGGAGAGACACTGGTGACAGGAAGAAGCCGTACAGTGCGGCTGTGCACACGTACACCTGCATGTCTGGGCTTGCTCATGCAAATGAGCTGCTAAAATAGTGGGCCTGAGCTGGCTGGCCCTGTCGGGTGCCCAGGGAAGAGTGACACCAGCCAGCATCTTCTGAAGCAGGATTCTAAAGGCTTTATGTGGATTTCTTCCCCTCGTCTTGTCAACTGCCTGATGAGACATGGTCTGCAATTGTCCCCATTTTACTAGATGGAAATTGAGGCACAGAGAAGTTAGGAAGTGAGTCCATGGTCGCAGAACTGGAAAGTGCAGGAGCCAGGATTTGACCCCAGGCAGTCTTCCTCCAGAACCTGCATTATTTTTTCCACTCCTGTCTTTTTATTTTTAAAAGTTTTCTGTTGAAGTCTAACATACATACAGAGAAGTCTAAATATTGGTGTGTTCAGCTCATTGATTATCACAAAGTTGAGGGTCATGTTCTTAAGTACTCCAGCAAGCCATGTATGGGCTTTGATGTCAGACCTGGTCTGAATACCATTTCTCTTGCTGTGTGACCTTGGGTGAGTTACTCAGCTTCTCTGAATCTCACAGTTTCCTCAGTGTACTTGGCAGGCTTGTGGTGATTAGCGCCTGTGATCGCGCCTAGTATGTTCGGTGTATGGTAAATGTTCAGTAGGTTGTTTATCTTATTAATAATTAAGATTATAAATTATGTTTGCTCTGTTAAGTGGTCTGAATATCTTCCTAACTTGTCAGTTGCCTCTCAGTCATGTTGCAGGTACTTATGGTGATTAGTTTTGGTAAATCACTCCATGTAGCTGAAACATTTGGGGGAGTGGGGGAACCTCCTGTGCACTGAAAATTCTTAATGTAAAGTGTCCCACCTGTGCATTTTAAACATAACCACCTTTGGACAGTGTAAGTGAAATATCTGTTTCTTAGCATTGGGAAGGAGCCTTTGGGGACCCTCCACAGTTTAACCCCAATTTCGGCCTGGTTTGCTGATGGACTGAAGCTTATTAAACAACATTGTGTTGCGTTTTAGGTGCCTCAAAGTTGCTGTTCACCCTCCAGAGAAATATATTGAGCTTCCAGAAAAATTTTTAGTATTATTTTTATCCTAAAGAATAACTCATTTAAAAACCAAACTACTTTTATAGTTGACTTTTCCATTTTACATAATGTGAATTAATCCATTATTTTAGGCCTCTTGTGCAGCAGTGGAAAGAGTAAGCACCTTAGAGTCAGGTCCAGGTCAGCCCAGCAGGACCACTTCATTATACGTTCCGTTTGCGCCTGGTCTTCTTGTCCGTGAGGTGCTGGTGACGGTGTCCCCAGCTCTTGGGCTGCTGTGAAGGTTATGTAGGTGGTGGGTGTGAACACCGAGCACAGTGCCCGCATGTTGTAACGCACACTTGGTGGGCAGGGGCGGCAGCTCGTGCTTATTGTTCCTGCCGAGGCACCTGAGACCCAGAACGTCCTGTGCCTTTCTCCCCGGGGTCCTTTCTGCCTAAGCCAGGACTTGAATTTAAAAGAGGAGACTCACAGTGCTTGGTGCTTGTAGAGCCTCTACAGAGCAGGCCGAGTCACGTGGGAGATGTCACATAGGCCAGTGGGCTCTCCTTGGTGTCAGGTCCATGGTCGAGATGAAGGCCTGGGGGAGCCACCACTCCTGTGGGGAGCCTGGCAGTCCCACTAGACTCCTCTCCAGGAAACATGAAAGGCCTGTGAGAGGCCTTCTGGAGAGTGACGTAGGTGTCGCAGAGAGAAGACTCAGGTCGGGCCCTCCCTGCAGAACCCTGGGCAGCTCCCTGCATCTGGCTCAGCGCTGTGTATTTGCCGTCCGTGAAGTGATGGAGTACAGTCTGTTCCTCCACGGGAGGGATGAGGATTTGAGGAGGTGTTTGATGTCTGCATTAGGACTGTGTAAGTAGCAGAGCTTACCAAGGGCCTTGGGGTCACAGACTTGGGCTCAGGCCTCAGCTGCTGCCACATTAAAGTGCAGACCTGGGTCAGCTGTGTGCCTCAGTTTCCTCCTCTGTGTGGGGGGATAATACCTGGCAGAAAGGGCTGCGAAACAGAATGGTATGTTAAGAGCTTAGAGCAGTGCCTGGCCCTCATGAAGTTGTAGTTTTGTGGTGATGCTCTGGTGTTGTCAGGTGTTGCAGACCTAATTCCTGCTCTCTCTGACACACGTGCCCTCAGGCCATGGCTGAAAGAAGGGAGCTGACTGTGACTTGAGCGACAAGGTGCGGAAATCTGGCAGAGCTGGGTTGATGGGAGGCTTGGCAGATAAGATGAGTGCACCCTCCTTGGAGGATCTGAGGGTGCATCACTGTCTATCTCCCGTGCTATTGGGGGTGCAAGGAGGCCACTCTCCTCCGCAGTATCCAGAGAGGAGCAGAGACAAGGGAGTCTGAGTGTAGCACACGTCCCGTGGACAGGAAGGAGCCACGGAGGATGAGTGCCAGAGGATGTCTGCATGGATGGGCAGCGTTATGTCTCCCTGAAGCCACCAGGGAGTGGATTTTTTCCCCCCAGGGACGTAACCAAGTCATTCAGTTTTGGTTTCATAAACTGTTCCTTTTACTTATGAAGCCTTAGTCAAGACCTAGTCCCGTTACTTTTTAAGGAGGAGAAAATTCAACTGTTGCTTCAACATGGGCTTGTTTTCCAAAGCCTCATTCAGAGTCACTGGCAGAGCTGCTCTCCACTTTCTGACTCATATTAAACTAAAGAAGGGGCCCCTATGGAGTGTTCCAATCTCTTGGGACACTTTCCCTCTTTGCTTCCATCAGGACTCAGTTTCATGACAGGTCAGTAAAAACAGGTCCGATGGTCTTGTTGCCTGGAGTGAGCAGTTCTCCTCGTATCCGTTCTGGACATCCTGTGTGTCTCGTCGGGGCTGGGATGGCTGCTCATCCTCAGACTTGTATCTGGTGTGGGCCCTGCCTGGGCACCGCCGAGAGCTGAGGGCGCGCCGCCGTGGCCACTGCCCAGGAGTTGTATGAGACTCTGGGAAACAACTGCAGAGGGAAATTCATTTTGCTTTCCTGAGCTGTCGGGTGCTGACTATGTTCCCTGTTGTCTGGACTCACAGCTGACACAGCGCACAGGACGGTCATCGCTTACTTGCTGGGTCTGCTGTCGGTAGCTCTTCTGTGACCTCCGCTGCCTCACCTTGTTCTTGAAACACAACTCAGCTCTTGACAGGTGTTTCTTGGGAGGACTATCCTGAAACCTGTCCACTTAGAATGTAGTTATTAGTAATAATTAATTCAGCAAGGAGACTTTTGAGTCCTTAACCACGTCAGGCAGTAGTATCCAGAAACCATTAGCATGTGACTGCCTGAAGCTTAGAAGCCAGGGGAGAGAGACATGGGAACTGCTGTACATGCAGTTGTTGTAGGTGAGGTGTGGCCACGAAGAGCCTAGGAGGAAGGAGGACCTGCAGCTTCCTGGAAGAATCAAGGAAGGCTTCTCAGTGGAGGTGGCCTTGGAAGTGTGCTGTGTCTCTGTGGCGCATGCGGGCAGACCCCCAGGGGCGCTGATGGCTGGGCAGGGAAGAGTACCTGAGGCAGTGCCACAGTACGGCTGGGTGTTGAGAGGGGTGAGGGTGACATTAAGCAGCTGGTGAGGCTGGTAGGCTGATCAGGAAGGCCCTGCGCCAGTCTGGGGAATTTAGACTTACTGTGTCTTTAGAAAACGTGTGACTTGGAGGCAGGCCATCCGCAGCTGGCCTCTCGGCTGGCCTCCAAAGTCCACCCTGCAGCCTGTCTCGGAAGCATGCCCTTTGTGTGTGCAGCCCCCCTACTGCAGGGCCCATCGGAAGGCAGGTGCTCTGGAGTGCAGCTTCTGGTTTTATGGCAATGGTGGCAGCAGGTGGAAGGGTTTGAGGACAGATGGCCTTGGCCCTTGCAGAGTTTGGTTTTAGAGTATGTTGCATGTGGAAGTACTTTTTTCCTTTTAGGTTTATTTGTCCGAAGGCTGACATTCTGTTCCTGAGGCATAAGGAACTTAAACTGGACTTGGAACCATCAGAGGCCTCAGAGGCCCCTCAGTTTCCCCTAGCAGAGTCCCTCGGGCTGCCCTCCATGGCCCCCAAGGCAGAGGAAAGGGGAAGGACCAGGCCACCGCCAGGCGGCTTTGCACTCTGTGTAAACTTGTTTCTCTCTTCCCTCTGCTTCCATCTTGGCAGCTCAGAGGAGAAGGGCTCCTTGGGTTCACTGAACTCACTTGTTACGCGTTCCTGTCTATTCTAGTGTCAAAATTTCAGTTTAAATTCATTTTTTTCGGGTATTCCAGCTCTTTATGTGGCTAAAATAGGGGAAATTCACATTTATTGGGCACCTACTGTATGTCAGGTGCCAGTGTGCCAGTGTGCCACCAAACCTTCTCATTTAATTTATCATCAGACAAGCCTGTGAGTTACATGGTATTGTCTCACTTTACCGCCGGGGAGGCGGGAAGTTGAGGCTCAGAGGCACCTCCCTGGCTGGTGAGGGGCAGAGCAGCGTCTCAGCTGGGCCTGTGGGGCTCCTAGCTCTGCTCGCCGAGAGGATTTCTTCTTGTGTTTATGGCTTTTTGCCAGTTTGACCTGTTGGAGTGTTGATGGTGTTTTGATAATTCTAATCACCTTTGACGTTGCCGAAGATGAGCTTTTAACTATGTGCCAAAGATGTTTCTTACTGTATTTTCTTTTTAATTAAAAAAATGTAGAACTTTTAAATTTCTGTACTGATTTGTCTTCATGTGCCTCCTGTTGTGAAGTCTGTTGTTTCACAGAGTAGTTCCCGGAGCAGGGTTCCAGAGGTAGTTTGCTGTGGCCTTGCCTGGGAGGAGGTCCTGGCTGGGGACTCAGGGTGAGGGCTCCAGCCCAGGAAATTCAGGGCAGTGTGAACTGCAGAACATCTAAAATGTGTTCCCGTGTGGTGAGATGATGCCCGATCCTCTTGGATTATGAGCTGCGTTTTGCTCTGTAGCTCAGAGAAGCGTTCTACTTTGTGCAGCACTTCTATAGTCTCATTTTTGTATTAAGCTCTAATTCTGTCGATATTTTTGTTTTGGTGTAGTGCAGTGTGGTTCTGCCTTCTAAGAAAAATTGATAACCAATTAGCAAGACACCATGATTAAATAATCCTTCCTTACTCAGTGGGTCACATCTCAGGTTTTTATATATAGTTCAGTCTATTTCTGAATTCTGCATTTGAATTCATTCCTTCTTATTTCTATTTTTGCTCCAGTGCTGCACTGTCTGCCTTGTTCCTTTAGTTTCTGGGAGGGAGGGAGATGATTGCTCCCTCCGTTTCTGCTTTTAATGAATTTGCTTTTGCTGTGTTGACATTGAGAGGCAGGTCAGGCTTCCGGAAGGGGAGCGAGAAGCTCACTGCAAAAGCTAAAATAGCACCCCAAAGGCAGTGGTTATCAGGGTTATTGCCAGGCTTCAAACCTTTACCTCCTTGCTGTTTAATGATAACAGCTCCCAGCAGGGTGCCTGCTGGGGTGGGGGTAATGCTGGCAGGGGGGGCTCCTGCATGCTTTTCCCATGGTACCTTATTTAATTCTCCCAAGGCAGTCTAGTGGAGCTGGGGTTGGGACCCAGAGATGTCTGAGTCCAAAGTTCCATTCTTTACGTTTTTCTAATCCATGGATCAAATTTAAATGCACCCCCAGATTTCTGTAGTTTTTGACATTCTAAAGGACAGTAGAAGGTAACATAACTTATGTCAGGGTTCTTAGTCCACTGGGGACCTGGCTGTCCAAGCTGGTGCACCTCCCATCCCCTCATCACCACCCCAGTCTTGGGCCAGAGAACTGCAGGCAGGGCCTTTGTGTCACTGGCAACTCCGACTCAACTCGCTTAGGTGTTTACTGCAGGTTTATGGTCTTTATTTTTTCCTTTGTTGGTTTTTGTCTGTACTGAGCCAGCCTTCTGATCTGGGTTTTTATAACCCCAGACTTAGCCATTCATCCACTAGGTATGGCTTGTTTTGGGGTCAGTCATTTAGATCCAGCTCTGCTGCTAAGTAGCAGTATGATCTTGGATCTGTTTCCTAACCTCTCTGAGCCTCACTTTCTTCTATGGTAAAGGGTATGATGTGCCCTGCCCTGCAGACCTGAGTAAGGTGACTAAAGCATCGTGGAGAGCCATGGCTAACTTGGATGTGTTTGGGGTAATCTCACTGCACAAGGTGTACACAGCCATCTGTCTTGATGAAGACCTTTTGATTTTTATGCTGTCTCAGAATAAGCAGAACCTTGACTTACGTTTAGGTTTTGAATTCACATACTTTTGACAGGTATCCTGTTTCTCATTAAAACACACACACACACAACAAACCCCCTCTCTTCCTCCCTGGAAGAGTCCTCATGCTCCCAGTGCTGTCCTGGGGATCACAGATGGCACTGGTGGTGTGGAGGTTATGATGATAAGGGTGATTATGTATACCCCTCTTAAATGTAGCCTTTGTTTGAGTTATCTTACTGTTATTTTATATCATAATATATATATTATAACTCTAGCTTCTGGTCTTGACTTAAAACTTGGGTATGTAGGACTTTTTTTTAGGATCATTCCTTTAAAAGGGGCATCGAAACGTTTGGACTGTGTGTCAGAGGAGTTGCATCTTTGGCTTTTTATATCCATTGTCTTAATTTCCATTTTTGTGTTTTTTCTAGTTTCTCCTTGGACCAAGATGACTGATGGAAACCTTTCCACCTCTACAAATGGCGTAGCCTTGATGGGCATTCTGGATGGTCGACCAGGAAACCACATTCAGAACCTGCAACACTTGAATCTCAAGGCACCCAGATCCCTCTCGCTGCCTGAGTATGGGCCCAAGCTGAAACTTGGTGCTTTAGAAGATCGGCACAGCCTTAAGTCGGTGGACTCGGGCATCCCCACCCTAGAGGTTGGCAACCCAGAACCCGTGCCCTGCAGCGTGGTCCACGGGAAGAGGAAACAGTCCGAGTCGGAGATCGTCCCCGAGCGAGCCTGCCAGAGCGCATGCCCACTGCCGTCCTATGCGCCACCAGCCCCCACCAGCGCCGAGCGGGAGCAGAGCGTGCGGAAGTCCTCCACGTTTCCCAGGACGGGCTACGACTCGGTGAAGCTCTACAGCCCCACCTCCGAAACCCTGAACCGCAGTGACAATGTCTCCGTCTGCAGCGTGTCCAGTCTCGGCACAGAGCTGTCAACCACGCTGTCCGTCAGCAACGAGGACATCTTGGACCTCGTGGTCACGAGCAGCTCCAGTGCCATTGTGACCCTGGAGAATGATGATGACCCACAGTTTACTGATGTCACCCTGAGCTCCATCAAGGAAACCCGTGACCTGCAGCAGCAGGACTGTGATGAAACTGAGGAGGGAAAGAAATTGAAAATATTGGGACCATTTAGTAACTTCTTTTCAAGGTAACGCCATCTTTGTCTCTCTAGAAGAGCCAGGTTATTAACTTCCGATCAGCTGCATTGTTCTTGTCTGAAATGTGTGTTTCCTCCCTGTTGAGCAGACACTGTGTCATATAGGTAATCATGCCTTTTCCCAGTAGCCCAGAATCCTCTGGAGTTGTGTATAGGACTGGTCTGTCAGTGATTCTGCGGCTTGATTCCTCGCTGCTAGCTGTCACCTCCGTGTCCTTGGCTCACTCCACAGTCTTGTCACTTCCTGACCTTTGACCTGCTGTGGCTGAGGGTGATCTACAAGTGGACAGTGTTACCAAATCAGCAACGTTTGTGAGGGCCCTTTACATTGATAACCTGAGCTTCTTGGGCCATGAAGAGGGACTGGTGAGGGTGACTGATCAGAGTCAGTAGCCCCCATGTCTTAACTCCAGCCGCCACTGGCATAACCCAGGGCTCGTCCATCAGGGCCCTCCCTGGTTGTGTCTCTTGCACCCCTGCATGGCTGTGCTCTTGTGTTCACGTTCTGGTCCTGGTTCTGCTGCTGGGGTACATGCTGCCACTGCATTGCAGCCACACATGTTCCCACCAGGAACGTTTCTGTGCTCAACCCAGCTGCCCCGTGCATGTGCCTGTAGCAGAGCACGTGTTGGACATTGCGGCACTGGGTGTCCCTTTGAGATGGTGTGACGTGCTGACTGGAGTCAGCCAGAGACTTCTGTGGCTGTGGGCACACGTCTTAACTTAAGGCGGTCTCAGGTATGTCATCAGCTGGAGATGCAGATCATCTTGGATGCGTCTAAGACCAGTCCTGAGAGAAAACATCTCCGATGTGGGCTGTGGTTTTGTGGGGCACCTGTTTCTTTGATGTGCCCGTGGACAGATACTGTGCTCCTCCCGAGGAGAATTCTTGGCCCCAGAAGCCCGTAACTCCGTGATCGCCTTCAGTGGGAGGAACCCAGGGACTGTGGGTGAGATTCACTGTCCTCACTGAGTCCACAGCCCTGAAATAGTGCTGTTGCAGCTCAGGTTTGTGGGGCTGAACTATTCCCTTTGCTCAGATCAGTATTTTCCACTTTCCCTGTTTATGAATACCATCTGAGTGCCTGTGAACTATGTCTCTTTAGAACTCATCCCAGAACTCCAGAATCAGAATCTCAGAGGAAGGGCCTTGGAGACAGGTTTTCAGAATCACCTGGTTCTTGACAAATTTGGGAAACCTTGCTTGAAATGCGGATGCCCGGGAAACAGCATAGAGGAAAGAGCTTAGCTTTGGAATTCAGGAGACCTGCACTCACTACTGGCTGTGTGACCTTGAGCAAATTACTTCACCTCTCTGAGCTACTTTTCTCATATCTAAAATAGCATGAGTAAGTGCCCAGCACATGATGCCTATTATGTTGTTGATGTACTATTTATGTCGTCTTACCTGCATTGTCCTCATTATTTGCCTTATGTCTCAGTTTCTTCCTCTGCAAAATGGGTTCATGATGAGACCCACCCATATGGTGCTCATGGGGATGAAGTGGGCTCCCGGGTGTAAAACTTGGTCCAGACCCAGGCAGAGTAGCTCTGAAGTGTCAGTTGCTTGTTGTGACGGCCATGACTTCATCCTGCTTTGTCTGCTGCCTTTGTCTTACTGTCTGTGTTGGAGCCTCTTTTCCTTTGAAAGGAAGTAACGTTAATGACTGAGGATTGTTTCTTGAAAATCTTTCTTTCTCAGCTTTGTGCCACAGAAATCAGATATCTCTTCTTTTATTTTTTGTTTCTTGTCTCCTTTCCTTTGTTTTGATGGCTGTGACATTATTGTTGTGAGCCATTATTTAAGTACCTTTGTGAAGCAGATAAAATATTAATGACAAATGAATCAAGATTTGTAATATTGTGAGCCAAGTGTAGTGAGTTTTTTGTCCTGGAGTCTTGAAGAGTTTCCATATGTAATTCCTTTGAGGGGAAAAGGGTTCTGGGCCAGAAATGTTTGGAACCCACTAACATTTTGCAGGTGAGTATATCTGCAGGTGAGTTACAGACGGGGTCTGGCACACAGCAGCTCAGAGGATGGCGTGAGTTTTTGTTGAGGGCAGGGCTGGGGCTTGAGCTGGTCCTTTGCAGTTCCCAGCCTGGGCTTCTACATCATCCTCTCCACTTTATCCCCTGGGCCCCACATCTCCCTCGATGCTCATGCAGTCTGTTCTCCTTGTCTGGAGTGCACTTCTAGGTTGTAGAAAGCAGTGAGGGCAGTGTTTTGGAAGCTGGTCTTGAAGAATGGGGCTCAGAGGAAGTGGTCAGGGACCTTGTAGCCTGAGGGAGCAGGCCTGTTGCTGACCCTGACTGCTTGATAAGGGTGGCCTGGGTGAGTCAGGAACAGAGGAGCCCAAGCTCCTCCCCCTGCACTCCGCCCCTGAAGCCCAAGCCCAGCTCCTGTTTGTGCCTTTGTTCTTTTCTTTACACGGACTGCAATAAGCACCTCTGTTGCACACTCTCCTCTGAGGTTAGAGATAGTCCCTGCCCTTAAGGAGCTCACTGCCAGTGGGGGAGACAGATGAGCACTGCGGGGGTGGGGGCTCATGAGTGTCGTCATTCGTGTGTGTGTGTGCACGCGCTCGTGCATGTGTGCATGTCACGGATACAGAAGTCAGGAGTGCTAGTTCAGGAGTCAGGCTGGTGGGGTTCAGAATGAGCTGTCCTATTTAGTAGCTGTGTGGCCTTGGGCAAGTTACTTCACCTCTCTGAGCCTTAAATGGTACATAAAAGTACTGTGTAAGGTTCAAGATCAAATAGGTAAAGTATTGACCATCTAGTACACTTTCTGGCATGGAAGGTAGTAGCTGTTAATGATTCTAACACAAATATTATCACTTCTAAAAACTAAGTTTTCTAAAGCTTTCTCTAGTTCTTAACCCCATATTGTGCTTTACTTTAACTGATCCATTATTGGAAAAGATCAGGGTTTCTCCACTTTGGCTCTGTTGACATTTGGGGAAGAATGAACCTTTGTGGTGAATCTGTCCTGTGCACTGAAATGAAGGCTGTTTAGCAGCATCCCTGGCCTCTACCCACTAGATGCCAGCAGCAGTCCCCAGTTGTGACAGCTTAAAACATCCTCAGACGCCGTCAAATGTCCCTGGAGGAGTGGGGTAGGGTGAGGTAGGAGAGTTGGGCAGAATCACCCAGTTGTTGAGAACCTCTGGGCTAGCAGGTTGTAAATGCTGGTATTTAGTTGCTTCTTTGAAGGAAGTTTACTAATGTAATATATATATATATATATATATATATATATATAGTAATTAAATTATAGTTGATTTACAATATTGTATTAGCTTCAATGATTTGATGTTTTATAGATTACGTTCCATTTAAAGTTATTATAAAATACTGGTTATGTTCCACTAGTGTAACATATTTTGAGCAGAATCCTCATCTGATATAGAAGAGAGGGACTGTTCTAAGGGATTCTCTGAGCCCAGTGCAGTGAAACAGTCTTTATCTAGAAAGCAGATATGAGAGGAATTCAGTAACACGCCAGTTTTCCACAGGAGACAGGGCTTCAGAAGCCCAGGCTTTAAGGCTTCTAACCTGCTTTGGCCTGGAAGGTGGTAATTAGCTTTGACCACATAGATCTTCCGTGTGGCCCTCTAGTAAGTTCTCAGAAGAACTGATCTGAATATCCTTTGCTGAGAAGAGTGCTTGAACTGCCCTTGCAGGGTGAGAAGGAGCTTGCCAAGTGAAGGCATAGGGTAGAGGGAACAGCTCGTGGGAGGCTGTGTTTAAAGACCTGTAATGATGCATTTTTCTGATCTGCTTCCTGACCTGGCTGAGAGCCCCCCGAGGGCACAGCGTGTGTCTGGTTCGCCCTGGCACTGAGTTGTAATTCACAGAGAGACACTGAGGAGTCGGTGGTTGAGAGCCAGAGCTACCCAGACTCAGGTTTGAACCTCAGCTCTGCCGTTTTTGACCTGTGTGACCTCAGGAAACTTACTGAACCTCTGTGCTCCCGAGTGTATACTGAGTGATGGGGTTAACTATACTCTCGTAAAGAGTTGATGTGCGGGTTAAACGTGAAGCTCTGGACGGAGTGCATGCCCGGTGTGAGCAGGCCAGGCTCATGGCCTTACTGTCTGTTTTTGTTGGGGTTTCACATAAGAGTTCATTTTTTTAAAAGGGTTTGCCATATAAAAAAACTTGAAACCACTGGCTTAAGAAAAATAAATCTGTAAATGGGCACTTTGACTTGGTGTCAAAGCGCTCAACCAGAATTTTAGTTCCTAGACCGATCTAGGCTTTGGGGATTTGATCATTTGGAAGGCGGCATGAGCACTGCTAGGGAACGCACTTGCCCCTTGCTTTCTTTTTAGGGAGGTGTGTTGGCTTACCACCAGGGCGGCTGCACCTCAGAGACGTTCGGCAGCTGGAGCCCCTGGCACAGGGAGGGACAGGCGATGTCTGGTGCTCGCCGGTGCCACTCGGCACTTTCACGTGGTCTCCTTGTGTAATCTTCAGCAACCACAGGAGAGAGTGTGGTGTGTTAGATTCTGCGGGCTGGCTTGTTCATCCTTCTAGGGCGCCTTCCTGTGCTGTGGGAGCTGGAGGGTTAAAATGGGCATTTCCCAGAGTTGCTGGCAGCTCGGGTTCTGGGCAGGAATTGGGTCCCCTTTATGAGCGGTCTGAGGTGGGGAACCCCCCGTCCCCCGGTTTTGGCTGTTTCCTGCTGTTTAGTGATGTCATGGAGATGTGAGGCTTTCCTGCGGCATCATCCCTGGGTTCGTTCCCTGAGTGTTTAGAGGCAGCTGTGGTGGAGACAGTCCAGTGTGGAGGGGCTGTCGCGGTGGCTCCCTGACCCTATTGCTTTCATTCTCCGGTTCCTTAGTTCCAGTGGCAGCTCAGATGTGACAGCTCCCCTGGTGCGTCAGTTCTGTGTGGTTCTGGAAGCCATTCCTGGGGGCCCAGTTTAGAGCTGACTCCTTCAGCCCTTACAGTAGTTTTGAAGTCATCTAATTCCTTGAGTTAAATTC